TGTCAGTAGAAAAGGCCGATTAAGGGGCTTGCAGTTGTCTCCGGAATGGCCAAAGCAATATACTAGTCAAGTTCACAGCCGATATCCATCTGAAAGGCATAAGCTCAGTGGCAGACTACACTGACGAAGTGAGTAAGGTATCCATAGTGTAGTTGCGCCAAGTAGATAGAGATTGTGAGATTGCAAGGGAAGTAATCCACTGGCAAGTTGGACGAGGCATAACGCTATAGTATCGAAGGTAAGTAGGAATCTTACTAGTAGATGAAGTGCGTTTTTGAGGCGATGCTCCGGAGATGTGAGTTGAACCCAACTGTTCTAACCAGTAGAAGATATGGATGGGAATGTTCACTGTATTCTCCAGAATATAGGTATGGCCGAACGCAATACTACAGACCATACTAGATAAACATCCAATGAGCATAGGATTGATGGCAGACCACACTGGCGAGGTGGGTAATGTATCCATAGGATAAAGCCGTCAAACAGATAAGGATTCTGATATTTGGAGAAATCCACTAAAGAGGTGGACGGAGCAAAACGCCGTGGAATTGCAAGTAAGTGGAACACTTGCAGGACGATAATGCTTTGAGACGTTGAGATGTTCCGATGATGAGAAGGATTTGAACCCAATTCTTCAAACCGCTGGAAACTGGGACAGAATGTCTGAGATGATGGTCCGGGCTGTCTACCTATGCCTTAGGACTTACGATAATTACCTTCAAGATCTTTACCGAGATACGACGATCAGGGTAAGTTTATTTAACCCTTCTATGTTGGTCTCGAGGAGAGGCAGGAAAGAAAAGATCAGAGAGAGGAACGATCCCGAGCGGAAAGGAGGAGGTGAGCAGAGCTGGTGACCTGGAGTCTTATCACGCTCTTTACCTCATTCTGTGTTTATATACAAGCTACAGCGTCATGTGTATGTATGTGCTTTCGTATATTAGCCTTGCGAAAGGAATATCCGTATACGGAAACTCGGTGTGAGAATATGTGGAACTGTTCAGCAAAGATAAGACGCCGTACGCGGGGTGTGGGGAGATGTAAGAGCAACGGTCTCAGAGAAAGAGCGTTAATTGATAGGGGAAATGCCGCGGCCGTAGCACAGATTGGGTTGCAGAACAAACTATGTTGGGAACCAGCAGTTGTGGAATGAAGTGGCCCAACGGTGCTATCAATGGATTAAGTGAACCGCTTGAAGGTGGAGTCCTGCGGTTTCACCCGTAGGCCAATTGGTCGCAGAGGACAGTCAGGGTAAGAGCCGGTTTAGATTCTTAGCAGACGACTGTCAGGTACGCGAATGACTTCCATCCGTTTACTCAGCCGTGCGTGGATTTGTTACCACACACACCAGCCAGCCAATCATCAGACACACACCCCCGTTCTCGCAACGCGAGTTCCGTGAGTCTTGTACCTTCCTCAATTGATTGATAAACCTCCTGCTGTTTGGACATCTTCTGCTTGCTGGGATTACGTGTCTTGGAATCGTGCGTTACATGCTTATTGGTACTACGCATTAGTGGCGACGAAAATGACGAGCCCAATGTTGTATACACCTATATTTAGGTCGTCTGCTGAGGAAAAACTGACCTTATCGAACTAGATAAGATGGAGAAAATCATTTGCTAACTACGTGGAATTACTTTTGTGCTACCACTGTACAAGGGCAAATGAAGTAAGCAATGTTGCACGACTTATCGTGACATCAACTTGCTGAGTTATGTGGGCAAGGTGATTACCTGAATCCTGCTCAACTGCCTCGTCAGTCAGGTTGTGGAACCTAACGTGGCGGAAAAGCAATGTGGATTCCGTTTAGGTCGCAGCACCATCGATATGATGTTTGCAACTCCTCGGTTGCAGCAGCATTGCAGAGAAGGACACCAGCCGTTGTACTCGCTTTTTGTTGATTTCACCAAGGGATTTGATACGGTGAACCGCGAAGCATTGTGGCTGGTGTTGGGTAAGTTCGGTTGCCTGCGTAACTTTGTAAGTTCAATTGAATGTCTACACAGTGGCATTCAGGCGAAGGTACATATGAGTGTACGGACCTCGGATGACTTTGAAGTTGTCTCTGGTGTGAAGCAAGGCTGTATGTTAGTGCTTGCCCTGTTTAACATTTCTCTTCATGACTTGATGTCCTGGGTTTTTGATGCCGCTTGTGATTGCGGTGTTCGTGTGCAGCCCAGTATTGATGGTGGGTTGCTGAATATTCGTTTTTTTGTGTGCGAGAACACTAGTCTGTGAGACAACTATCCGTATTCTACTGTTCGCGGACGACTGTGCGTTGTTTACACACAGCGCGAGTGATTTGCAGTATATGACTAGTGCGCTGGCCTCGACAGCAGCCAAATTCGGGCTCACCATCAACACACACAAAACTGCCTGTCTCTTTCAGCCTTCACCGGATGTGCAATCTGCAATGTTGCCACGAATCAGCATTGGTGCTTAAGTATTGGAAACCACCTCCCGCTTCTGTTACTTTGGGAGTGTGACGTCGAGTGATCAGCAGCTACACAGTGAGCTGCGCATCCGCGTGTCGAAGGCAGCGGCGGTATTCGGGAAGTTTCACTACCTAGTGTGGAAAACCACAAGCTTACAGTTGGCACGAAGCTGATGATGTACAAATCCAAGGTGCTGTCCGTTCTTCTATACGGCAGTGAAACGTGGACGATGTACCGTCGGGATGTGCGATTTCTCGAGCGATCCCATCAGCAGTGTTTGCGACGGATTTTGCGCATCGTTTGGGGCGACAGAGTTGCTGACACGGAAGTGTTGCGACAAAGTGGGGTGTATGCAGTGGACTGCATACTTTTACTGAGACACCTGAGGTGGCTTGGTCATGTGAGCCATATGGATTCGACGCGGATACCGGAACAACTATTAGATTGTCAGCTGAGTATTTGGAAGCAACATGCGGGGAAAACGCAATTACGTTACCAGAACATGAGCAAAATGAGTGTAGAACGTTTTAATGGTTATTTCAGGTGTTAGGAATCGAAAGCGGTTGATCGGCGTGCATGGCGCGATCTGATCAGGTAAGCGGTTACCGAGATGCAACAGGAAGCCCTCGTGCATGCGAAAAGGAAGCGGCTGTTGCGAAAGCGATGGAATATGGTCTATCGACGTCGAGCGCATGGTGCTGTAGCAGTTGGTTACGAGTGCCTGAGTCACACACACGCACACACACACTATACACGTCAGCTAAAGTTGGGAAACACCTCAGCTACTGTGCCGCAATACCTAAAAGAAAAATGGAATAAAGTGCAAAAGGTGCAAGCCAGCTGAGCTATAGGTAACGGATGGGCATCGTTCCCGGTAAGCTATCTGCCGGCTACTATGCAACAATAAAAGTAATTTTCTATGCAAAATTATAAAATGCTAAATAATGAGATCGTGCTTGGAGGGGGAGGCTAAGAGGGATGGGGTGGGACAAAGAAACTCACAGCACGAACGCCACTGAGGTCGGCTCCTAGCCATATCAATAAGTGTAGCCAGCCAAACGTGTTCATCGTCTTTCGAACCCCAACCAGGGAGCCGAAACGCTTCAACTGAGGTCAGCTTCGAATTGAGGACTTTCATTCCTCTCGACCAAGTCATCGCTTGGCAACGTCTCCTCTTCTTCCATCCACATCCCCGTCGCGCAAACAACGCACGTCGCGGACGCCGGTGGGCTGACATGCGTAACATGTAGCCGAGCCATCGGAGCCTGATGCGTGAAATAACAGTGCCTGAGTCAGACAGTTCTAGTTAGCCACTAATGAGGCTGAGAACGTAGGCAGAACCTGCACAGCGTTTGTAGGTACACGGCATTTGATTTACTAACAAAATGCTTGCGTGCTGAGTTTCATTTTTCAGGTCGTTGTTTTACCATATTTTCTAATGCACACTTTGTTAAATTATTTAAATGTCTGTCTGAATAAGCTTCTTTTTACTTACACGTGTCGCTTAAGCAGATTTGGTTATATTATTAACTTGTTCGATTTTGTGACAGTTAAAAAGTATTTTTTTCTGATATTTTGAACTTGACGCGGATTGTTGATAACCAAGTTATCACATGTGCTCATTTAGCGAAGAGTAAGGCTGTATATCCGTATGATTTTTGATAACTATTACTTGATATTGTCAGTCCAAGTGATTAGCTGTTGTTTGACATTCCCAGTGTGGCTGCGCTTGATGTGCAAGTTAACTAGGTGCCTGCCGGTCCAACAGCCACCATCTCGATTACTGGTTCCAGAAGACTGCGAATCGTTGGTGGGGTGGACGGCGTGCGCGGTCCTTTTGGCCGTGCTAGGCTCGAAGTGGTTCCATCCAGTGTGGAGCGGATCACGGTCAAGCCACCGCCTTGTGTGCGCTTGATTCCCCAAATACAGCGTGCTTGTGTTTGCCTGTGAATGAGTGTGGGCCGGCTCCGTTGAGGAAACGTAGTTCTTATCCACATGCCTCCTGGTCTTAATTCTCCTGGTTTGCACTGGATATGAGGTGTGTTGATTGAGCCGTAAGGGGTGCAATGCAAGCCACCCATTGTCCTTCTGTAGGCGCAGAGATCCTGTGGCTGTCCCTGTAGAGGTCGCAGTGACAGGCAAATCCGGAACCGGATGCCGCCAACCAGCTCAGAAACAAAATATATCTGATAAGCCCCCTAATTCTGCACGTGGTCTTTACCTTGACTGTGATAAGCGGAACGATCGTAGTTGACTATTCTATTACAGCCGCCACTGACAAATCATTTGGTCGGTAGACTTTCTCTCTGTATACAGTGATGAACTCCGGAAACGGAACGGCACATCGTCAGCTAAACTACGCTTTTCGGTTAATTATTGCCCTTTACGGCGTTTGCCAGCTATGGTTTCTGGAAGATAAAAAGAACACCTTCAGAAGAAATTTCAACAGTAACTCGCATTCCAATCTATTTTCAGTCCTTCTTAACACATGAACGCAAAAGATCACTAAAGCGGTGTCTGCTTCTAATCACACGTGATCCGCACTACGAGCGGTTTTAGCTCGATGGCGCCTTGCTCACGTGACAGCTAGCTGAAATAGTCTGGTGCACTGCTTGACGAAGAAATGATCATATCGTAATACGTTACATGGAAGTAAGAAAGACTTCAGCTGTGTTACCACGATGAGAAAGAAATCACAACGATTGTTCACTTAACTGTCAAGCTTTTCACAGAACAACAGGATTTCTAATCAATTGCAAACTCTGTTGCTCAAGGTCACTATCTGGCTAATCAATTACTCTTTCAAACACTTATCACCACCTGATGCATTCACTGGGGCACTTCAAAGACGCCTAAGGATGGGCAACCGAATCGCACATCAGCATGTGCCGCAGTCCCGTGGAAGACAACCACTTGACGCTAGAGGTTCAAAACCTTTGCATTATTCAACACGTTCAACAAAAAAGTACTTGCAACCTCCTTCAGATACCATCAATGAGTATCTACAGTCTCGGTCTCAACAGTATCAGACTACTCAAACAGACTTAGACTCTCCATTTGAACCGTTAGGTTATCGAGAAGCCTATGAACACTTACGTGAGCTTGCGGAAAAACGGATGCGCAAAAACCATAAAACAACGGATGCCCACGCAAACACCGCTTACGGCATAGTTTATCCCACATGTGAGAATTCGCGCACAGTCAATAGGCCTGTAAAGCGGACGATACCTGCAGGATGTGGTCCTCCCCACCAACAGGACCCATGTCTGTGCACCACCAACGGTCTTGGCGATAACGCCTCTCGTAGAGCTGGAGATTCTTGTGTATCCGATTCAGATGACGCGACAATACAGATTGAAGAAGATAACCTGACGACTAAACCGCCGACAGTGAGTCGTCTCACATCGTCTTTTGATTTTATTCCGCAAACCGGAGATGTTCGTAGTGTGTCGATGACTTCGACCACATCTGGAGAATATTACAATCCAAATGTTTCAGGGGCACGAAAGCATCGAAGTGCCTGCAGAAACGATGATAAGCTGCATCAATCCGCTACAATTGCGCGCAATCTGCGTACTGTTGGAAGTCCGTTACCCAGGCTCAAGCAACATGACAAAACAGGAATAACAGAGAACAGCCTTGCTACCTTATCAGTTGGGACAAAAAGTGGAGAACCATGTAGAGTACGCCGCTCGCTTTCTGTGTGTCCCTCTCCATTCTCCACAGGGACCCGATTTGTCACACCACAACTTGGTTTTCAAACGGAGCCAAACGGAATAGTTTCGTACACAGCACTCTTGACAGCTGGTCCTTGTGGAGTGCCTACGGATGGATGGTTAAATGACATTCGCAAGCGAGCCTATCGCCACTTAATTGGATTGAATCGTCAGTATCGCTGTCAGGTCCACTTCGATCCAGCAGTGATTCCATACCGAGGTTTGTATGTGCACGCTCTGGTAATTAGTGGGCACTCGCAATCTGATCTCATTCGATGTCGAAACGCATTACCAAGCTGCATTGAAAGATATCTCATCACACCGTACGCGCACCATGGAACAATGCTGAGGCAGGCGAGGTAGCCCGTCGGTTTGTAAACTGAACTCCCAGCTTTCATATACGCTCGTGAGGCTTCTCCCCAAAGGTGAATAGCTCGCTTTCCATCTTCCACTTTCGTCCGCATACGTTAGGCTGCGCACACGCGATGGCCTGCTAACAGTTTCCAAACAAGCGGTCTAAAATTACCACCAGTAATGATGGTTTTGGCCAAGCCAAATGTACTCTTTATAGAAAGAGCTCAATACTTTTCTTTCCGATCTCGTTCACTCTTTGTACAACATTGGTCCCAGCCTATTACTTGATGGGATCTTAGAGAGTACACAGCGTGGATCATTTTCGCGACGGATTTTAGGGTATGTTATTTACCAACAGTACAATTGTTAGAGTACCACGACAATTCAGTACCTGCGATACAACGAAAATGAAAAGGGAGGGACAAAGAAGAAAAACTAAGCTTGTAGTTATGGGGGTAGATTCGCACAAGTTCCCACTGTGCGCATTTTGTTGCCATGTCCCAGGAGGTTTTCAACTACGGGTGTTCCTGGTCCTCGCATCCACAGTCAATAAGTAGGCAATGCCTGACCGCGGCCAAATTTAAGGCAAGCGCCTTCACGCTTCGGGTTCAGATCAACCGTTGACCACCTTGTGATTGAGACTACCATGATTATGGCACTCCGGGGATTGAATCGCGTGCTTAAAGGTAGAAGTTGATGGTTAGAACTGTCGTTTCGCGTGGCTTGTTCCTCTCCTGTGTGTAATGTTATACGTAACATCTTGGAAAATACTTGGAACCGATAGCGAACTCATGATTTCAGAAATCGTTGAAAACAACCGGTTGGTATAGTTTGTGGGCAACGTTTCGGTTTTGACACAAAAGCTTCCTCAGGCCGAGTGAACCAGTCGAGGTTTGGTATAGCACTTATAGCAAACTGAGAGGATAAACGCGATGAATGGGATGCTTTCCTTAACATTTCCACTTGAATAAAGTGGTTCACTTCAGTTTGTCACATGTTATCCGTAACTAAGATTACAGTCAAATGCATTGCCAAAGAAATTTCTACGTCGCCCACACGGTTGCTTGTACAAGATAAAGCCTACGGAATAATTAGAAGTCCAGCAGCAATGTGAATGCAGGCTGTAGTAGACAAACATTCCGTTGTCACTCGCTGCTTCGACTGCCTCTACCAAGCCATAAACACGCACTATACTTTTATCATATATATTCAAATTAACCCTAGTTTCTGGATATAAAGGTCCTGCTGAATATCTCAGTTAATTTGCACAGAATGGATTGCGATGCCTACCTCAGATGTCACCGTCTAATTCAGAAGTATGCTTCGGTCACTGTATAAGCAACAAGTGCTGCGTTATACATATTACTTAAGCGGTTCTGTTACCTATTATTTGGTGCGCAAGTCATCTGATTAACGGTATGAGGGTTTGACCGCGGTCAATAATATAAAGCCTGTGGGCTTGGTAGGGTATGGAATTAGCAGATCAAAATAATCGTGAGCATGTGGGTCTAACACTCAACTCTTTTTCTTAGTAACATTAAAACAGCTCCAAGACAGTACATCAGGGAGAAGGTTGAGTGCCCACCAGAATAAAGGTGCGCCATAGGTTATAGCACTTTCACCTTTAGATCAGTTTTGGCTTATCCGTTTCAGCTGTAGACGGATTAAGCGGTTTAGGTGAAAGATGAGACATACATAAGTCTTCGGCACAACTCGATATCGGCTTCAAAAATGCTTGCACACACTCCACACCTGGTTCCCATGTTCGACTACTTTTTAGAGGTAGATGCATTTGGCTCATGAAGGCAGAGCATGTATGATTTTTTCCCTTACACAGTGGCTGTACTCAGGTGGTGATTTTTGTAGCTTTTGCTATGGGTGCACCAAATACTTTCCACTCGATTACTTGAATGTAGGCTAAATTTGTTCGTATCTAACCTACGTGGATACAATAAACACCCGAGAGTGTGGTAGATGAGTTGATAACACAAAATAACGCACTTCGGTTACCATAGTTAGTCACAAGTTCGCACGAGTTTTCTCCAAACAATCAGTAAAAGCACTTCAAACAGGTCCATGTTTTATACTGTATTGCTAATCGTCCGTGGCTCTAGGATTTATTGGCTGAACTAAATAGATATTTAAAAGGTATACTCCTCAACGTTACGGAGCACAGTTCAATATGTCAATATCTAAAACAGGATTGTTCAGAGCAGCTTCCAAAACTATTTTGCTGGGCTGCTTGATCAGTGGCATCTTTCAAATGGATAGAGTGGTTGATAGTAATCAAAAAAGCGGATAACGTTAAATGTTCTAGTAAAGTAACGACGCCAACAGTGGAGTCGTCTCCAGTGGACATACCTCCATACAGACTAGTCCCTCGAAAAATTTAACCTGCGCTTCCATGTCTATTCGGACCGTGGGCTAGAGTGGCTTTAAAGCAGGTCAGCCAACACCAATTGTACTCATCTTTAGGACGTTCTTAAATGTATATGTATGGAGTTTTAAGCTACATAGCCCATACCATCAATCGGTTTCTTGAGTAAAACACTTTTACTACTAGTCGACGAGTCTACGGCATCTGACCTCATAGGTTCATCTATTAGTTTGGAAGCTTTAATCCGTCACCACAGGAGATCGACGCAGTCGTAGCCAACAGTGTAGTAAAGAAGAATATGGAAGATAAGGAGGTAGAAAGGTAATTACGGTAATGAGGATAAATAAAAATTGTTGTATTTAAATACCGCTAAGAAAAGCCGACGGATTTCTCTCACGAATGGTGCAGCGGGATCACCGTACTAGGTGGTTGCTCGGATTATCCATATGCAGGGCAGTTCTGAAAAGAATATTCAGGTTTACCCAACAGTTGCATGCGTAATCAAAATACAGTATTTGATATCACGGAGCACTGAGAACTGCTATCTGCTCTTGGGTTGATGCTCTCGGAAAAGTAGGAATAATAAATATTATAACAAGAATGTAAAGAAGAGGAAGATAAACGAAAACATAAAAATGGTTTATATCTTGACCGTAGGAGATACGGATTGCGGTTGAGCTGGTAAAATTTTATAAATCGACGGTTGAAAACTGTTTCTGCTAAAGTTGTCACAAGAAAAGTTGCTCTGGATCGATCCATCACTGTCAGGCAAGGTGTGTAGGAATTGACATTGATGGATGCCAAGAAGCACTCTGTAGTTTGTGCTGGTACATCCGGACATGAAAGAGCTTGGTTAAAAGTATGGCAAACGGTTCGCTCAAAAATAAATACATGTTAAGATGGTCGTAGAGCAGAAATAATTCGACAAAACTTATTAGCTATATTTAGACCAAGGTTTTGTTTTGAAGCGGGTCGGTGTAGCATTTTCCTGTGTTGCTGCGCCGCAGGCCAGAATCAATTCTTAGTGGACAACAGTTACGGGGTGTCAAAACGTTGCGTATGGGGGATATAATATGATGGAGATCGATCAACATCATTATAGACGTTACCTGCAGGTGGAAAACACCTCAGCTATTGTGCCGCAATACAAAAGATAAGAAAAGGAAAACAAGCAGTGACACGCCGGCTGAGTCTCCAGTAACGGATGGACATCGTTTCGGGAACCTAACAGCCGACTATCGTGCTGCAAAACATTATGTTATGTCTAACAAATGTGATCATCATTGAAGTAGGAGTCTAAGCAGGAGGGGTTGGACAAAGGCACTAACAACACAAACGCCATGGGGGCCGGCTCCAAGCCATATCAGCAAGTGTGTCCAACCAAACGTGTTCACCGTCCTTAGGACCCAAGCCAGGCAGTCGGGATGCACCAACCGACGCCAACATCCAAGTGAGGGTTTTCCTCTTTCTCGATCAAGTCATCGCATGGCCTCCCCTCTTCCACTTCCCACCGAACCGCCGGCGTGCAAACAATGCACGTCGCGGAAGTCGTCGTGTTGGCATGCGCAACACGTGGCCCAACCATCGGAGCCTGGTGCTTGACATAATGGTGCTGAGCGGTTCACTCGCTCTTCCTGCACCAGATACGCGAAGCCGAACATGCTGATTACTCACGCGGTGCTCCCACCAGACATGAGCTAATCTGCGAAGGCAGCGGTGATCGAATATGACGAGCCTCTTTATGTCTGTCGACCTGATGGACCAAGTTTCTGAACCATATAGGAGAGTTGAAAGAACGACTGCGTTATAAACTCTGCCCTTCAGGGTGAGAGGAATGTCGCGTCTGCGTCACAGGTGACGGCGATTGGTAAAAGCACCTCGAGGTTTTGCTATACGGTTTGTAACCTCATCCTTTATCCCTCAGGCGATAATATAGCTGCCCAGGTACTTGAATTCCTGAACGACTTCTAGCAGATCATTACAAAGCGTTAGCGCAGGAGTGGGTCCCTGCAAATCTTGGAGAAGTAATTGGCATTTCGGTAGAGCAAAGCATAGCCCAAAACAATTGGCATCCAGTGCTAATCGGTCTAGTGCTGCTTGGCATGTTTGGGAGCTGCCACAGATTAGGGCAATATCGTCCGCATACTCTAAGCCAAGAAGTCTCTCACCAGGAAGTAGCTCCACACGTTCTAGGTCGTGTCCAGCGAACGCTGTTCCCATAACTTCATCAATAGCGAAGTTGAAGAGGAAAGGTAACAGTGGGCAACCTTGTCTCACACCGCTGGTGATACTGAAGGGTGGCGAAAGGTTGCCATAAACCCTCACTCTGCCCGAACTATGCGCCTACAGCGCTTTGATAATGTTTGCATATATATCAGGCACACCTTTTCTCAGCAGATAGTCCCAAATGGCCCATCGATTGACTGAGTCGAAGCACCTTTTATGTCAAGAACTATGACAACGGTGGGTTGCCAATAAACATGGCGGTGCTCCAACAATTGACGCAAGGTGAAGATGTGGTCGACGCAGCCCCGACCTCGACGAAATCCGGCTTGCACTTCACGAATCTGAATTTCACTATTGGCAGTCAGTCTGTGCAGAATGATAGGTGCAAGCAATTTAGTGGCAATTAAGATCAGACTGTTCCCTCCATACTTGCTGCATTCTGAACGGGCGCCTCCCTTGGAAATTGGGACAATGACCGAACGGCTCCAGTCTGTCGGGACAGTCTCCTGCTCCCAAAGTTTCATTAGCAATTCGTGTAAAGAATCTACTAGAGAATGTCCCCCGAATTTGAAGAGGGCTGGGGGAATTCTATCTACCCCTGCCGCCTTATGCAATTTCAACAACCTGATCTCACGTTCGA